TAATAAGGCATGTCCCATCTAAAGTTATCTAAACGGTGAGTTTTTGAGTATGCTGAAAGGGGGTTAGCAGGGGTCAAATTTCACCTACTCGCCATGAAAAAAAACTATTATATCTGGAAACTGCGCAACAGCTCCCGCGGTGCGGTGCGGGCGGAGGTGCTAAAAACTGCGTGAGAGCTGCTGTGGTGGCTGGCGGGAGGTGGTTGCTAGTACCCCGCGGTGGCCAATAGGCCGCAACGGCGCTTGGCTGCGAGGGCCGCACGACGCCGCTTGTGGCTTTAATTTGTATTTCTGTATTTTGTACATTTTCTTGTCGTGATCCGGAGGTAATGTCCTGTTCTGCAGAACCCGGGGGCCAGACACATTCTGGATTGAGACAGGTGTAAAGATAATATCTGGTCCCTGACCTCTGACCTCAGAGACACAGAGTGATGGATCCTCTGGAAAGTCAGGGCAGGTTGCTTAAATGTAGTGAGGTCTGCTACTGAGTACTAAGGAGAGACGTGCCGAGATGAACCTGTTGATTCATTCCATCTGTAAATTTAAGAAACTCTGGTCCAGAAGACGTTTCTTCATTGGTATCTATTGAATCCTGTGAATGATTGGAGGAGCAGAGAGGGAGGGGGGAAGGAGCAAGGGAAGCAGTCGCTCCGTCTCCAGTCGATTTATCAGCTTGGTTTGGAATATTATCCTCCTGATATGCGGCGGGCTCCATCCTAGTCAGACATCCTTGAGCCTGTTCTTCTGACGCGATGATCCTGTTTCTGTCCTTGTTGATAAAACAAAAAAGGTTTGCAGTGAGTAGCTTTATCCCATGTTTATTAAGATTGCATCCTCCTCTTCCAAAAAGGTGAAAGCGCTGCCAATAGATCCAGAGGTTATCATGAAGGTCACTGAGCTGGTAGAGCAGCTTTTAATCAGCCATTTGTTGATCGTGAGCAGACTGGAGTGTTTTTCGTCTCCCTATTGAGGTGATGGAATGGACCACTGAGAAATAACTTCATTTTTAATTTTCCCATAGTGTTCAGAAGAATATTAAAGTCCTTTTTCAGAATCTCAGACTTTTGCTTTGCCAGATCGTTGGCTCCAACATGCACAACTAAAGTCTTAATATCTGGCTGATCAGTGGTTAGAGAAAGCAGTTTGTTGGTTAAATCAGATACAGTGTCACCAGAAAAATACATCACTCTTGTTTTCCTGGGATTGCAAACATCACTGATTCCCTTTACTGCCTCATGTCCAACAATAAGCACTTTTGGGACGCCTTTTGTTTTCCTGGTGGTCACTTTGTCCTTTGGAGCTTTGGGGGATGGATGTGTTGGTCTTGCCTCACTGTTGATGTTTGAAGGCAAAGTTTCACTCAGACTCAGGCAGGAGTGCAGAAAATCTGTTTTTCAGTGGGATTCCCACAGAGTCAGAATGTTTTGAGGCTCTTGCTGGTTGCTTTGTCCCTGGGAGCGGGGTCAGCGGGGTCAGTGGGGTCGGTGGAGGCGTTTTGGTTGCAGCTGCTTGTCTTTCTTTGGTGGAGCAGGTGTTGAAGTTGAAGGTGGGTTTCGGCTCAGAGCCGGCCACGCTGATTCGTCCGTGTGCGGGGTTCTCCCTGATAATCGTCTCATCGGATCCACAGTGCCAGACTCCCGTTTCGGCTTGGCACTCAGAGCGTTCCAGGGTGAGCTGCTCGGTGCAGGGCGCACGACCTCTCTGTTGATTTGAAGAAGGGTTCACAGGAAGCGTCTCATTTCAAGTTCACCTCCAGCAGTTTGATCTTCATTTCTATAAACTGAAGTCGTTGTAAAATACTGCTCATGTCCTTGAGGTCAGGTTTAACTTGGAGATAAAGAAAAGTAAAGTAAAAATAAAAGTAAGAAAATCCCCCAGGCCTTAGGTTTGGAGTAATCCAGTTAAGATGTCAATAATGTAAATATAACTATAAAAACTGTCGCTTTAAAAATAATTCACAGGCAGAGTTATCAGTAAGGATGAGAGAGAACAGGATAAGATTGTGTTTAAGAATTTAGGTTAGGTTGAAAAAAGAAAATCCCCTGGCTCACACTCAAGCACAGCAGATGGTGATAATGCGTCTTAATGTTGGATGTCACCTGCCATTAAAACCAAGAAGGAGAAGAAGAAGAGCTGAGGAGGAAAACAGAGAAGGCAGACGGGCCAGAATCATAAGAGTAATGTTTGAAACCATCGTATCAGTTGTTGTTTTCTTTATGCTTTTGTAAACAATTGTACATTCGACACATTTACATAGAGTGTACATAGTGTATCCCAATAATTGTCTTTCACTGTCTTGGAATGTGGCAAGTACAAACTAATCTGAAACATGGAAATCTTTTTCTGATTGAATGTCAAACTGAGAAAAATAGTAGGTGTAAATATCTTTTTTCACCTGAATAGGAATGACCCAAATTTCTTCTTTTTCAGAGTTAATATTAAATTTTTTAACTGTCTTTTTTGTGTTTCAGCAGAATCAACACTTTTAAAGAGGTTGACAAAGATCAACCGGATGGACATTGTTCATCTCATTGAAACCAAGATAGACAAATCTGCTGAAGAGGAGACAAATTCACATACCTATGCAGAGATTGAACAAACCCTTATGATGGACCATAGCGAAGGTGTGAAAAGTTGCAATATATATATTTTTTATTTTATACAGACTTGTGATTTGGATGTTATTTAAACTGGTTGTGGAACTTTTTAATAGTTAACAGGATTTTGTGTTTCGTCCGCCCCTGAATGCTCCAACAGGTTTTGGCAACATTCATGAAGACATTGACAGTCCAGGTCAGACAGATGTAAGGAAGCTGCTGGCAGGAGCCCAGTTTTAGTTCAAGAAGTTCCTGTGGTATCAGCAGAGGAGCTTTCTACTAGCTTATCATCGCTTCATGAAACATCAGGACGAGTTGAGGCAGATCCCATGGCTCCAGGATTCATGAAAAAAGCCCAAAGAGAAAAACTGCAAAGAGAGTTGGAAACAACAAAGTAAGTTGAAATTTTGTGAATTAACAGAAGTGCAAGGCCTGCAGAGGCCACAAAACTGCTAATATTTGAACACAGACCACATTTACGTAAGTGTAACATTTGTTAATTGAAAATATAAATACTGCTAAATTAGATTTAATGGTTTTCAGCATACATTAACTAAAAGTTCTTGAATTGCTTAACATTTACATTTTGTATTTTAACTAGTGGGGAAGTTTACTTTTTAAAATTCAAAGCACAATCTTCATAGTTAGTTAGTTTTATTATGATAGCTGCAATCTGATGCTGTGAGTTTAATCTTTGAGTTTGAGGTCTGGTTCACAAATCCATCTCAGTAAATTACAATTATCACTAATTGCTTTAAGGTTGGCCAATTAAACAAGGCCCCTGTCGCAAATGTATCTAAGTCCATGGTGAAATGCTGTTAGTAGTGCTGATGGGCCTCTGACTCAAATTCTTCACAAAGCCTTATTCAACCTTGGACCAGCCCTGCATGATGAGTTAAATCCTCTGTACGCCGTCTCTGCTGGCTACAGAGGGACAAAGGGAGATTTAATTTATGTGACTTTAGTAGCTCTTTCATTTCATGTCTGTTGAGTTTTTCAAAAGCACCACAGAAACTGTTTTGGTTGCCTGAGCTTTATAGGTTTTTCAGATTTTCACGCTTAGATAAACTTCAGAAATCAAGCAGGAACAGCGTGAGGGAATCTGTAGAGGCACCAGTGCTGTGATTGTTCCACGCGCCTGTTAAAATGCACCAACTATAAACCCATCTTTTAAGAATAATTCTGCTACGCCTGTGAAATGCTCAGCGCAAGAGACTCTTGCAGTCTGATTTATTTATTTTTAAATTAATTAAAAAATTTAATATATATATATATATATATATATATATATATATATATATATATATATATATATTTTTTTTTTTTTTCAAAAAACATAAACAAGCAACGCATAGCCTGGTGAGGAGGCAAGTAGCGGTCAGTAAAGCTTTACTGACCGCTTTGCTTATAATACACTGGGAAAACCCTGCAGTCACTGGTCAGTCAATTCATCCTTAGTTTGTGAAACTACATTGAATTTTCCCACTCAAGTCAAATGGTGCATTCACACTATCCCTGTTTAGTCTATTTTAATTGTACTCTGGTCAAAGTAGACTAATCACTGGACTTTCTAGAAAGCTCAGTTTGAATGGGAAGTTGTGAATGTGTAATTTAACTTTGATGTGGCGCAACAAACTCTGGTTTCTCTACAAACTTAGGTCTCAGTTTGGTTGAAGTGAATGCTGGTGGTGTTCAAATGTTTTACATGCCAAGTGGAATGATGACTGTAAGGGATGAGTAAATACAACTAAAGCAAACACGTGTGTCTTGCACTAAAACAATGTCTTGTGCTCTTTAGCCAAACAAAGAGAAATCCTACAACTGCTAAACCTGACACAACTCCCTTGCATTAAGATATTTTGTGAGGAAGTTGGGCTACATGTCGAGTTCAGAGGTTTTTGTGTCATTTCCCCCAGAGGTTTTTGGTGCAGCGACACCATAAGCAAGTGGATAAACACTTGGGATGGGTTTATAGTTGGTGCATTTTTCAAAGCTTTTTGTTTGTTTCACACAGTGCAGTGTAAAAAAAATGCACCAGCTGAAATATAACATGTCTACTGAACTATTAGGTGTGAAAACAAAGTTACAAACTCAAGTTCCCATTTCTGAAACTATGACCCAACAGGATCATTACATTTTCCCTTAAGAACAAAAAATTCAAAAGCTGCATAAAATAATTACTATTATCTTTTCTGTTTTTGACCAAGGCTGAGCACTGAGGTATTTAAAAGGCACATGACGAGTTTTGACATCCAGAAGAATTTATGTTTAACTTTAATATGCATGATGCATTCCTACAGATTACTTTGGGGGTTTTCTAATATCCCTGCATAAACAAATATGACATTGTTGTTTTCTTGCAGCTCATCACAAAGTATATATGAAGAAGTGACAGACATGGCACATATTGGGAGTTTCAAGCAAGTAAGTCCTTTATTCACTCTGTACTGCACCTCTCCCTACAACCTCCGTTCCCACGTGATAGACCCTGTATACAAAGGGGGGCCCAAGTTGTGTGCCCAGGTCACCCCACCTCCCAAATCCACTTTTGAACCATGTGAAGATGAAGGAGTTGTTCAAAGCGAAGGGGCAGAGGGGAGCGAGGAGTGGAGTTTGGAGTGTCTACGAACTACTCTTACAGGAGACAGCATAGATTACTGTCTCTCCCCATCAGCTCTGCGAGAGACTTTCAACAACTCTCAAACAGGTGTTTGTGAAGATAGGCCACTGTCCATGACTGATTTTGGTGATAGCTTGCTTGAGTATGCGCAAGCTGAACAGGACTTCAAAAAACTTTCTATGGAACTCACAAAACCTGATGAGGCATCTGAAAAAGGATCAGCAACACAACAATCTACGAGTGAACTGCTTGCTTTGCCCACAACAAGGTTCACAGAATGGACATGTTCTAAGCAAACAGATGAAGTGTCACACCGACTTTATGGGTATGGTGTTGAATCCAGGGATTCAGAGCCTCGGGATCTCTCTGTAATAGTTGAGAGTTCACCCTTCAAGCAGTCAGAAAAGATGAAGTTCAGGCCACTCATAGTCTCACAAAGGGTAGCATACAATTAGAGAAAGAACATTTGCAATGTGTCGCACAGAAAAATCAACAAACACTACAGTGTGAAAATGAAGATGACTGGGTAATTTCTCTGCATAAAGTTGACAGATCTGATTCTTCAGATTCAGTGCCTGAATACAGATCAATGTCACCACAGTCCACACTGTTAGACGTTAGAAGGTATTCACCTGAATCAGACACAGTTGATGAGTGTCTGGATCCAGATTCTCCGATACCACAGTGTATGTCTTTTGCACATCATGCAGTTCTAAGAAATTATTACGCATCCTCAACAGAATCTGTATTGTCATTTGTTGAGTACGAAGCTATGCCTTTGTTGTCATGTTTTGAGGATAGGCCTCTATCTCCTGAATCTTGTGGCTCTGAGACTAATTGTAGATTGACTTCTCCTGAAACAGACAAACTTCTTCACAAAGAGTATGCACTTGAATTGGCACAAACTGTCATTATTCCAAAAGAATCAAGTCTTGGTAAATTTGAAACAACACAAAGAAAAGAGACAGAAGAAAGGTCAGCCAGACTAGTGCAACAAAAGTCATCCCAAACAGAGTCGCTACAAGCTGATGGTACCGAGACAGACCAGAACATTGCTCCCCCATGGAAAGAACTAAGCTTCTGTCAACTGATGGCAGTAAAACACAACTATCTCCAGTTTATTCAGAGGCAAAAAATTCAAATGCGAATGTTAAATGTGCTACGAAAATGTTTGGTGAGACATCCTTACCATCTTTGTCTCAACAACCTACATCTGAGGATCTGAAATGCTTAATATCAACTTCAGACACACTTGAAGAGTTTTCAGCTTTCCGGCCTGCAGTCAAAACAGAACAGCCTCCATTAGGCTACAGTTTTGCTTATGAAGCAGAGCCTTCCAGGATAATCTCTCAAATCAATGATCCACAGTATTCAAGAGAAACACTTAGAAGCAAAGAAGGAAACCATCAATTTTATGGCACATTGTCTGACTGTAATCAGGAAAATTTAGGGGAAGCTATTGATGACCAAACCAATTATTTGTCAGTAGAAATGTATAAAAGGTCAATATCACCTGACTCTGAAGTACAATCCCAGCTATTGTCACCTGAATCGCTAATGCTGCTAGAAATGGTAAGGCCAGACTCTTCCCTGTCGGGCAGATCTGCAGGTAGTCACCAAGCCTTAACACTAGATTCCCCTATTCCTCAGTTCCAGACCTCATTCACAGATGCTTCAGAAACTCATTTAACACTATGGGAGAAATCCTTTTCACCTGTTTCAATATGTTCAGATGCAGAATTCAGCTTTGTGTCAATGGAATCATTATGTGGTGAAACTTGGCCGTCATCTGTAGATTCTGTTGACAGAAACTATCCTCTCTCAACAGAATCCCCCATTCCTGAATTTAGCCTGTTTTTAACAGACCTCCATCCTCAAACCACCCTGCAGGGATCTGTGTTTACTGTTTCAAGTTCCTCAGACATGCATTATGGGTCTGCTTCTCTGGAATCATTATTTGGTGAGAGCCGACCTCCCTCCATATGTTCCTTTGAGGAAGATAAGTCATGTTCAGCTGAGTCACCAATACCAAAGTTTGAACGAGTTGTGCAAGACTATAATCTGTCTGCACAAGGTAGATATTCTTCACCTGTTTCTGTTACCTCAGATATAGAGTACGGCTGTATCTCTTTAGACTTGCTATTCAGTGCCAGTAGAGCTTCTTCAGTAGATTCTGTTAATGAAACATACCTTTTGTTACCAGAATCCCCTATCCCAGAGTTTAGCCAGGTTTTACTGGACCCCCATGTCTCAACCATTCTGGATGAATGCCTGTCTCCTGTTTCAGTGGCTTCAGACATGCAGTCTCGATCTGTCTCTTTGGAATCATTATTTGGTGAGAGCCGACCTCCATCTGTCGATTCCTTGGATGAAAGCGGGCCACTTTCACATGAGTCACCCATTACAGAGTTGGGAGAAATTCTGGTAGAATCTGATCTCGCTTCACTGGAAGGGCATTTATCGCCTGTTTCTGCTATGTCAGATATTGAATTTGTGTCTATAACATCAGCATTTAATGAGCGCAGACAGTCATCTGTAGATTCTGCTAAGAAAAGCTGTCCTGTTTCACTAGACTCATGCATTCCAGAGTTTGAACACACTTTAGTAAAAGTTAATAAAAACACACAACAGAAATCCTTGTCACCTAGTTCAGTTCTTTCAGATCTAGATTGTGTGATGTCAGATATTGAATGTGCACAATCAGATGTAAACTTATCTATTTCAGAACAGAGACCTGACTCATCAGAATCACAAGCATCTGAGACCATGGTGATAGTACAGACCAATAATTCGGCTTATTTAAAGGAAATCAGGGTACCAGTCTACAGATTGGTTTTTGATGCAGAACTTTGGAAGCTTATCTCTAAAGTACGAGATCCTCAGTACAGTGGGGAGACATTCTTTAGTAAAATAGGAGTTTTTGAATATTGGCACCAGAATTGAGTATTTTCCAGAATCCCCTGTAGTAAAAACAAACGAGTTGGAGAATAATTTAAGGTCAGGCAATGCAGAATTAGAATCCGGATCTTTGTCTCTTTTGGAAATGACTACAAATGTTAAAACATCAAATTCCAACTTGTGTCTAGATTCTCATGGTCCCAGATTTTCCTTTCAACACCTCAGCATTTCTCAGTCTCTGCCAAACTCACCAGTATCAACCGTATCAGTTGAAGATTCAGAACATTGCATACCCACAGTTTTCAGTGAAAGCACACATCAATCAATGACTTCAGCAATATCTGTTGATGACAGGAGTGCAATATCACATGATTCACCCTTCCCAGATTTCAGGCCTGTAGTATCGGAGTCAGTTACAGCTTATTCAATCGTACCAGAAGGTGGATGTCAGACCCTGTTACGTGATTCAACTGTAAGACAGATCAAAGCAAAAGAAACTGAACGCTTTGCCTCATTTGTTGGATTCAGGTCAGAATCTCCACCAGTTCTTTCACACTTGGAGAGTGCTCATCTAATAAGTACATTGAGGCAAACTAAAGGCATACCAGACGCATTTGAGTCAGAAGCCAAGCTTGAAAGGAGACCTTTGTCATCTGATTCTGAGTCAGAGTGTAGGTCTATATCACCTGGGTCTCTGACTTTCATTTTCAAACCATCCCCTGAATCTGTTGGTTCTCCAAATGAATTCAGAGCGCTGTCCCCAGATTCTCCAATTCCAGAGTTTAAGGAAGCACTACAGAAATCCATAAACACATACTGTGAGCTTAGATCTTCTGTCCCAGAGTCAGTGTCATCAGAATCGGAGGTGGAAATGAATTGGGGGAGACATGGTTTGAGGAACAGTGTCTATCTCCTGACTCTGCCACCTTTGGTAGTGAAACAAATCTTCCAGCTGATTCTCCAGTACCTGACTTTAGACAACTTTTCTCAGTTGCTCATGTTGATTACAGTTGTTACAGGGCATCATCACCTGAATCCAGTCGTTCAGATTTGGATTTTGCTCCCTTCATTTCTCAACTGTTTGAAGATGAAGTTAAAGAAAGACCAAATACCACAGAGTCAAATCTATATTTGCATGAATTCCAACATTTATCCCCAGACTCACCAATACCTCAATACACTCACAGGAGGAAAACACATTAATATGTGGTTCTGCATCTCCTGTGTATTCAGAGGAGGAGTTAGAGATAGAGTTTTGTGAGTCCTGGTTTATTGAGGACAGAAGAGCATCTTCTGGTTCATCATCTGAATCTGAATTCAGACCAGACTCCCCCATACCTGATTTTACTCAGGCGCTACAAGAGTCCTTTAATTCACACTCTGCTTTAAGATTCTCATCC